ACTTTGTTCACCAAAGGCCTGGGAAAACAAGCCACCGAGCAGGGGGAGAGCACAGAGCAAGCCGCACATAGCACAGGATTCTCAAAGCACCTCTGAGAACAATCTAATTAGGAGGCGGACAGAGACACGAGCGGTCACCGCAGAGGGTGCACAGATGGTGAGAGACACGGGACGAGATGCCGCTTGTCGCTCGTCATTAGGGAAGCACGCTCTCAGACTGCAGCGAATATTGCTGTGCCCCCCCCCCCGCCCCACCGCCTAGTGCAGAGGCTGGTGAGGACACACAGAGGTGCTCTGTCACTCAGCATGGGAGGCGTGGCATGGGGTGGCTCCTTGAGGAAGGGCACTGCTCACAACCTGCTATACCTGGATCCAAATGTCCTCTAAAGCCCCCTGAGCTAAAGGGCAGGTCCTCAGCGTGAGGGTGCAATGGGGAGGTGGTGACACCTCACTATGGCTTGCTGTGAAGTACTCCAAAAGGCTTGGTTCCCAGCAGGTAGATCTGATCCTCGAGAGGCTATCAGATCATGAGGGTTTTGACCCAGCTAGCGGATCCATTCCCTAGTGAGCTCCCTGTGGGAAGGCTTTGTCATTAGCATTGGTGGTGGGAACCAGAGGTGGGTCTGACTGGGGGAAGCTATGTCACTGGGGTGTGTTTGAGGGGTCTGTTTTGTGCTTGGCTACTTCTTCTGCCTGACCGCTGTCCCCAGCTGCAGTGAGGTGAACTGCATCCCTCTGTCATGCTATGACAGTATGCTGTCTCAGCCTCACCACAGCCTTGGAGGCAGCCAAGCATGGGCTGAACGCCCTGAAGTGGTGAGCTCAGTCAAATCTTCTCTACATATAAGGCGATTTTCTCAGGGATTTTTATCGCGGAGCTACTACGGTGTATGAGCTGGAAGTGCATCTATGGATCCTCAACCCAGAGAAGTGAAGCTGTGTGTTCTCCAACATTCTACATATGTGTTTCCTCTCAGCATCTTACATCACCCTGGCACTTCTCAGAGGGTGGCCAGCTGGCAAACCGTGGCATGTCTATTGCTTAGACCATGGACCTCTGCCCTGGGACCCATATGATGCCCCAGACGAACCTCCAGAGCTTCATGCTGGGTGAAAGCACTGGCCCCAGAGAGAACAGGACAGCGCTTGCCAGGGTGAGGGACCCGGGGTGGGTGTGGGATGGGGCAAGGGATGTGTCTACAAAGGGGCACTGGGAGGAGTCCTCCTGAGCAGCCTGTCAGGAAGCAGCTTAGAGGAAGAAGAGTTAATTTAGCTCACAGTTGGGGGTATCACCCGAGAGGGGCAGACAGGGCTGCGGGGAGTCCTGGCTCCCTCACATGTCCTTGAAACAGGGAGCAGGCAGGAACTGGGATTGGACTATCAGGCCTCGAGGCCTGTCCTCAGTGAGCCACTTCTTATCCCAGAGGTTCTGTGAGCCCCTGGAGGGCAGTGCACACTTACATCGTCCTAGGTCCCCTGTGTCTTGATGGCAGGGGTCACAGAGCCACACGTGTGGCAAAACTGCATAGGATTCGATGCACAGACACAGACACAAGCTCACAATTTAGATGAGAAGGCATTTCTAGTGAACTCCTGCAATTGAGAGAAGACTGGGGTATGGAGGAAAGTGAGGTGCTCAGGCTGCACGTGGGACCCCAGGCTGCTCACAAGTGGCCCCGCACGAACCCCGCCCTTTAGTGTTCTCCGACAGCTTAGTCAATATTTAATCCTCACCCATTTGTTTCCCATTAGGACGTACATCCGAAACCTCTCATTAGCCCATCTTTCCAGAGAATAATGACTAATTTCCGGCAGCAGCTTCCCTTTCTCTACAAAGGCCCTTCCATTATTGTAATTTACTGATGGAGGAGGAGAAATTGCAGACAATTTCCAGGGTCCAGGGACTGTGCTACAGGGAGGGATGCCATATCCTCACCCTCACCCTTGGTTGGAGTCCAGAGAGGAGGGAGATGCTGGGTTAAAGTGACATCATCAGGCCGCATCCCACAGTTGGATTGAACACATGACTCCACCAGGGACCAGAGACGTATTCTAAAGTCCCAGGAGCCCTGAAGGTCACTCAGGACGTACACAGACCTTGCTGTGAGTGTCCTGGGAGCAGGGTTCAGAGCTGTGAGGGCTTCCCTTGCCTGGCCAGTTCTGGGAAGGACCCACTGTCGATCTGCTGACCCCCATGGCTATGGGGCTTTCTGAGAGGCAGTGTGGTGACACACTGGTTTTGTTGCCCTAAGAGTCAATGCCAGCTACACATGCTGGTTCTTCTTCTTCTTCTTCTTCTTCTTCTTCTTCTTCTTCTTCTTCTTCTTCTTCTTCTTCTTTTCAGTTTGCTTTAAAAGAAGGTTTGGGAAGCCTGATTTCTGAGAGAAAGACGAGGATACCCTCAGGTTCTTTAGGTAAGTCCTAGGTCTTGGACAAGAGGTCACCTGCCTCTGAGCTAACAAAAACACACCCCAGCTGAGCCTGTGCCTCCCTCCAGCCCCTCCAAGAGGTGCCCTTGGCAGCCCTCATTTGTTTTCTTGGTTGCTTGTAGCTAATTTGCCCGCCCACCGCCTACCCCTGTCCCTCTAGGGACTGCCTTGGGATGAGCTGCCTAAGGTTCCGCAGAAATAATGTTACATCCTGTTCCCTCCGGTGACACTGGACTTGCCAGCGTCTCACGGTCCTGAAAGACAATCACTCGAAAATGCAATCGCCACGTTGAAAGAGCAGTCCCCAGAGACGGAGCAATGACAACCTCCACCCATGGAGGAGAGTGTGATAAATGTTCGCCCTTCTGCCCTAGCCAGATGATGCTGACCCCTCATGGGGCCCATGGAGCCGGGGGAGCAGGTGGCTTTGTGGAGGACAGCTTGCCCAGGCTCTGCTTACACTGATTTCCGAGAAGAAACTGCGCCTGTTTTGCCCGGCACTCTGCAGAGCGCCAGGGCCAGGACTGGCGGGGAAAGTGCAGGACACTAGGATGAGGGAAAATAATGAGGGAAATGTTCTAATGTACATGTCTGAGATAGCCCACGTGGAGTGGCTTGCTGTGTGTTTGAACTTCAAGCTTACCTGGTGTCACGGGTTTTAAATGGCTATGCCCGGCATCTTCAGCCCAGGCTTCCATGGCCTCATCCCTTCTACCCTTCCCAGGAGAAAACTTGTCCAACAGTGTCCTCCCATTCCTCAACACAGGAGACAGCTCGGTGGTATCACATAGGAATTTGTTAATCCCTAGGCTTAAATCTCCTGAAGAGACCCAGCTAGTGGGTCTCTTGGTGTGGGGCTGGCTAGCACCTGCACCTCTACGTAGGCCTCCAGCAGGGTTCGGAAGGTCGTGCCTGTGTTGTGACCCCCATATATAGATGCCTGGGCCTAAAGCGACCTCACTGCTAACTGGTGAGTGGCCCCTTGTCAATACCTGAGGAATGCAGAGATATTGAGACCGGACTCATAGTGAGGTAAAGCCATGTGTCCTGCGGGTCTGTGGGAAGACAGGCTCTCGGGTCAGTTCTCAGGGGGACAGAGGGCCTTGACACAGGGGCTCACCTTCTGGGCTGGGAGAAGGGTCTGCTTGTTTGATGGGCCTGGGTCTCTGGCCTGGTTTCCGGACTCAGGTTGGCACAGCTCCTTCCTTTCCTAGGTTCTTTTCTAACACACGGTCCCCTCTCCTGCACGTCAGTGCCTACTCTGCATGTTCCCACAGAGACAAAAAGACCAAAGGCCACGGCAAAATCTCCCGCTCTAACAATCTAAGCCTAACTTCATGGAGCCTGACCCAGGATACAAACAATTAGAGTCTCACTCCTAGTGACTGCCGGATCTCAGCCCAGATGGCCAGTTTCTGGAGGACAAGTGGTGTTGCACCATTTACTGCCTTAGATGCTCAGCTGGTAACGTGTTTGCCTTGCAGGCATGAGGACCTGTGTCCGGCTCTAGAACCCATGTGAAATAACCAGGCACAGAGAAACATGCTAAAAACCCCCAGCGCTGGAGAGGCGCAGACAGACGCACCCCCGAGGCTTGTGCCAGCCAGTCTAGCCGGTGCAGAGATTTCTGGATGAGTGAGACCCTGTCTCAGAAGCAGGGTGGGTGGTAACGTGAAGAACAATACCCAAGGTTAGCCTCTGCCCTCCATATACACACTTGCATGTGTGTACTCACATGGGGACACCCACGTTCACACTCGCCCCCCCCCCATTCAGATGTGACCCCACGCAGATGAACAGTGGCAAGGTAACTTCTCTTAATTGCTATAAAATGTCCCCACTCCTTGTCTGTCCACTCTTCTGCTGTCTTTCCATCCTCCATGTCTATTCTTTCTTAAAACTTTCGTATCAATTCTAGTCTGGTAAAAAGTTTGCCCCCTTGGCTATGGTCCATCGTTTCTTTCTCAATAGTCCCCTCTTCCCTTCTCCTTCTGCACCAAGGCTTGAGGCCCACCAGGCTATTCCCTATTGCTACAGCATCCACTCTCTGCAGTGTCTTGATACCCTGAGGTGTGCGAGGATGTGATGGAGGAAGGTCATTGGCTAATAAAGGAACTGCCTTGGCCCATTTTATTGGTTAGAAGATAGGTGGGAGGAGTAAACAGAACAGAACGCTGGGAGGAAGAGGAAGTGAGCTCAGACTCCACAGCTCTCCTCTCGGGAGCAGACGCCTCAGAGAGATGCCATGCTCCACTCTCCCAGGCAGACACACACAATGAAGCAAGCCGCCAGGTTAGACATGCTGAACCTTTCCCGGTAAGACCGGTGCTCACAGATTATTAGAGATGGGTTGATCGGGATGTGAGAATTAGCCTGTAAGGGCTAGAGCTAAAGGGCCAAGCAGTGTTTAAATGAATACAGTTTGTGTGTTGTTATTTCGGAGCATAAGCTAGCCAGGCTGCCGGGGTGCTGGGGATGCAGCCCCGCCACCCTTATTACAACAAGGATGGGGGTTGTAAAGACTTGTGCAGTCTCCCAAGAAATAAAGCCAACACATCTGCCAAGCCTTACCTGGCTTGGAGCCCTCATCCACAGAGCCGTTGTAGACCTGGTTGATGAAGTCGGGACGGTTGTCGTTCATGTCGATGACATAGATATACAGATCAATAGGATTCTCCACCTTGTTGCCGTTCATGTCCACCGCGTGGGCTCGGAGCTACGGAGCAACAGACACGTCAGAGCAGGCAGCCACATTCAGGGGAATGATTTGTGGTGATGTATGTTTGTGCTTTAACAAATAAAGCTTGCCTGAAGATTCGAGCACAGAGCTAGCTGCACTAGTCAACCATAGAGGTCAGACAGTGGTGGCACACACCTTTAATCCCAACACTCAGGAGACAGAGGCAGGCAGACGGATCTCTGTGAGTTCAAGGTCACCCTGGGCTAGTGAGATTGAATTAATCAAAAAGAGAAACAGAGCCAAGTGGTGGCTCACACCTTCAGTCCCAGTACTAGGGAAGCAATATGGCTGGGCAGGAGAAGACAGGAGCTCAGGATTCAGTCTGAGGTTTCGTAGAGACAGCATTCAATCTGAGGACAGATGGTAGAAGTCCATCCTGGCACTATCCCAGTCCTCAGGGCTTCCTCCTGCCGGTGGGGAGATGAATGTGGGGTTCTACACACATCTTTGGAGAGGTCCAGGGACTCCAGAGGAACCTCAGCTTCCTCTGTAGGGTGAAGGTCTAGGTGAAGGTCCTGGATCCTTGGGGACCCTTACAGCCTGTATCCCCTTTCTACAGATCTCATTTCAAGATTGTCCAGTTTCAAGGACAGAGCCTGGTGTTAGGAATATGTCAGCCAAGAAAAATGCTCCTGAAGTTCCTGGGGGCAGGGTCTAGAGTCCATGCACAAGGCTGACTGAGGTATGGCAGCATCAGAGAGGGCTTGGGGACCATTCATCCCAGGGAATGACACCCTCAGGGCAGCCACCTTGGCCTCCAGTTCCTACACCTGGACCAGCCTCGAAGGTGGAGCTAGAAGGCTCCTGTCCAGACATTTCTGTCCTGACAATTGATAAGCAACTCAGGAAAGGCCCTTTCCAGAGGTATGGAGAGTAGCTGGCTGGCTTCCGCAGTGGGACGGCTCTGAGGCCGAGCTCGGGAGAACTAGAGTCAGGGAGATGGCGAGGAAAGGAGGGTTCTCCCCCAGGTAACTGGAGTAGCTGTGTTGGGAGCTCCAGCCTGGGCAAGACTGAGAGGTGAGACCTGTGGGCTTTCATGCCTGGTCTCTGCAGAAGTGACATCATCCTCACACCTTGTCAAAGGTGGACACGTAGGACCTGTCAGTCACGGATGCCCCGTGCTCACAGTGTGCCGTTTAGCATGTATGATTTGTTTCATTATTTTGAAATCCTTGTTACATTTTGGACCAGAGGCCCACCCTCTGCTTCATGCCTGTGCTGTACACATGACAAGCAGGGGCAGGGACAGCAGAGTGGGCGGCACACTGATCACTACCGGCTGAAGGTAGCAGGCCTGAAATCTTCCAGTAGGAAGATTATTGAAGATGCGGAGGAAGGGAGCCCAAGAAGGCCCAGCTATTGCCGTTTCCTGCCTGGGACAGCCCTGCCAACAGCTGCTACATCCCAGAAGCAAGAAAGCAATTTTGGAGATGCCCTGAAGCACAGGGCAGATAGAACATTCTAGTGGGAAATCAGACGACTTGATAGGGTCCTCAAGTCAAGGCCTCAGGGAGAGGAGGAAGCAGAAAGCAGAGACTCCTCAGGCCAGGGGCTTTCTCTTATAGACCATGATAATTAAAAATGAATCTGTCTAATCTTGGAAGAAGTAAGTTTAATCAGTGAGTGACTTCCTTCCATGGCCCGTGAGGAAGCCACGTGCTCCGATACAGAGCTGACTTCAGGTGATCTGACCCCCAGGGAAGGTGACGGTGAGCAGGATGGGCTATGTCTGCTCTGTCTCTCTCCCAACTTCAATCCCACATCTTGTTGAGCCCCCCCCCCCCCGCCCACTTGGGCACAGACGTCTTTAAAGGATGCATTACAGAAGACGTGTGTGCCTGAGGCAGGCAGAAGGACAGGCGGGGAGAGGAGGCCTGCCAGAGTGGTCCTTGCCATAGCTTTGCCTAGTGTTACCTGGACTTCACAGAGTGAGGCAAGGCCCCTTGAGGCCCCTGCGGGAGGCACTGACCCTTCTTGTGTAGAAACCAGCAGCCAAGCTGGGCACTTACTACCACCTGCTTGAGTCTGCACCTGAGCCAAGCCTCAGCCTCAAACATGAAGTCTGGGGCAGAGACCCGCTCCAACTCTCCTTCCCCAGTTCTTCAGCCTGGGAACAAAGTCATCTTCCTGCTCAAAAAGGACATGATGACTTTCCAACTCTGGATCCTGAGGGAGTCTCTTTCTCCACCCAAACCAACAAGATGATTTGTTCCCTGACCTTGGCCTCCACCACAGAAGAAGCAAAGTGAGGATGCTCAGATAGCATCTCCAGGTGCAGATAGGGAGATGCTGTTGGTACCAGCATCACCACTGAAGGAAAGTGAGGATGCTCAGATAGCATCTCCAGGCACAGAGAGGGAGATGCTGTTGGTACCAGCATCACCAATGAAGGAAAGTGAGGATGCTCAGATAGCATCTCCAGGCACAGCTAAGGAGATGCTGTTGGTACCAGCATCACCACTGAAGGAAAGTGAGGATGCTCAGATAGCATCTCCAGGCATAAAGAGGGAGATGCTGTTGGTACCAGCATCACCCCTGCTTCTTCCCACAGCTTGTGTCTGAATCTGAAAACCTGGGACCCAATCTTCCTCAGGGGTGTTGGGCCATGAAAAATTCAGTTGTTCCTCAGCTTAGAACGGTGCACATTCCCCAAAACTTGGCCCATGTTCACTCCAGTCATTCTTGTTTTCCCAGCACCTAACACGGGAACCAACATATGTTTTTTTTTTTTTTGTGCTTGCATCCTTTATTTTTAATTTGCCATAAGTCTAACAGATTGACAACAGGTTTGTGTCTGTTCCGTAGGAACATTACATATACAAAAAGGAATTATGTAAGTTAGAAAATGGCTTCATTTTGTATTTCTTCACGGAAGTAAAAGGAATAAAAAAAGATTTAAATAAAGTCCATTAAGAGGATTTGAATTAATTTAATTGTATTATTAAAGTTACTTTATCCAATTGCAGTAACAGTCATGGGAACTGGAACTAAAGTTTCAGAAAGCACATTGGGAACAAATTTCAGCCCATATTGCAAATTTTGTTGTTCTTGCCTGTTTGTCTAATGGGGATCTGTTATGTCTCTGTATAAAATGTCACATATACTAAATAATTTTAAAAATACCAACATATGTTGAATGGAAGGATGGATGTGTGGTGAGGATGGACAAGTGGGTGGGTGGATGGATGGGTAGATGCTGGGTTGGTGCGTAGGTAACTATATGGGCAGGTGTGTGGAAGGATTGATGGGAGGAGCATGGGTGGAGAGGCCTGTGGATGGATGATAAGTAGATGGCTGGATGGGAAGAGGGTATGATAAGCAGTTAGATATTTACCTGGATGGGCAGATGGGTGGGTGACTGGATGGTGAGTGGATAGGAAGGTGTATGTAAGCGTGAGCAGATGAACAGACAGATGAGACATGAAGAGGGTAGATAAGGGGGTGTCTCTGAAGAGGGGCATCTGAAGGACTGGTGCTCTGAGTCTGACTGGGGTCACTCTTGTGTCTCAGCTCTTCCACAGAAGCCATGGGATGGGCAGCAGCTCCTGCTCTGGGGACTATAAACTGCAGCTATAGGCTCGGGTAGCCATCTCGGGGCAGGAGACTTTTGTGGCTCTCCTGAGGTTGCTTTGCCAGTCCTTTGGGCACACCACCCTGCTCCTCGAGACTCTTTGGGGGTTGGTAACTTTTGCCAGTGACAGGCTCAACCTCCTGTAATCCCCGCCTCTACGCAGATGGGCAGTAAGCAGCTTCAGGGCCAGGCTCTGTTAGTGTGGATACGCACATGGAGCCTCCTTCTGGAGAGGAGAGATGGATGACCAGTCCTGAACAAACGGCCATCAGACCGAGGAACAGCAGGGTCAGCCTGCAATCAGCACAGAGCTGAAGCAAGAAGCCTCGGCAATTAATATGACGGCAGGGGGCAGAAACCGAGAACCCTGCCTTTGTTCTCAGATGATGGTCAGAGCGTTGGGCATTCAACACATTGGCATTTAGCCACAGGCACACACAACACCCTGACAACACCTCTGATCTATCCACCTGATATGGTGGATGTCATTATAACCATGTCACAGCTGAGATCTCTTCATGCTGGGGAGAGACCTGAGTCCAGGGTGGCCTCAGTGGCTCACCCAAGGCTCCCAGAGGTCTAGTGCTGGACCTGGCCCTCACAAAGCCCGGGGAACCAGGCAGAGTGTCTCTTGGCCATCACTTCAGAGAGAGGTAGGGACCTGGCTGTCCCCTCATGTCCAGTGCTGGTGGGGCAAGGAGGAGGCTGAGAACCCACAGCCTCTCTTTTCTGACTGTTCCTCCTTTCTGTGCGGCTGTTGTCTTAGAGGCTCTCAGAGAGACAGCGTGTAGAGTTAAAGCTCACTCTGGCCTGTAAGTGCGGGGGTCGGGCCTGACCGTCATGTTTTGATGATTCTGTTGAGTAAATCTGTCTGATCTGGTAGGTGCCAGGGTCCTCCTGTGCTTAGGACCCTGTGGCCAGACAGAAGTGAGCCTTGCTGCTGACACCCTACCCGGGTGGAAGGCTGTGGAAGGGTGGACAATCTATCGACTACCCACTATTGCTATGTTCCATATATGGATACTTACATGGTAAGAGGCTCTTTCCTCTCGGTCCATGGGCCGGGTGACATACATGCGGCCAGACATGGAGTCAATGCTGAAGACCTCCATAGGGGGCTGGTCGGCTCCCACACCCGTGATGCTGTACCGGATGGGAATGTCATTGTCCTTGTCAGATCTGATCTGAAAGACACAAGGATGGAGTCATGAGCCTGCTGCAGGGGTGGGGCTGACACACTCATCCTGATGCCTTGAGGGCCCGATGCCTGGCCACACTCTTAGAGCAGCATGGATACAGCTGCAACGGCTTAGCGATATCTCTCTCATATAGAACACACTTGTCTCTTCCCCAACAAAGCAGCCAGTCACTCTGCCCTAAGAACGTCACTTCCCTATGGTGGTCAACCGTAGCCCAGAGGAAAAGAGCTGATCCAGTCTGAACAGGTTTTAGGTGTATGTACAATAAGATAACCCGTGTCCTAGTGTGATCTTTTAGAGAAAAATTCCTATTTACCATCTAATGCCTATGCATATGATGAAAATATTCCATGTTTGCATAAAAGGCTAAAGTTTCCATATGTCAGTCAAAAGCTTATCAGAGCAGAAACCACTCATACCCCACCCTACAACCAACCAATGTTTCTTCCTCAAGGACCCAAAGAGTCTCCAAGAATACACGGACTCCTGAGCACCCTGGCTCACACCTGCCACTCCCTGCCTATGTCTACCTTGCACTTTCTTTTCTGAATAAAAGTCCTTGCTACTTTGGTATTCATGTATGGTTCCTCAATCCTTTGAAGATGCCAAGAATTGGAGATACAATGGGCTCAGACAGCAACCACTGATAGCAGAAGGGCAATCAGTGGGCAGGGGGTTACCGAGTGCTACCAACTGATGTGGGATTCCCCTCTGTATTCTATGAATATGTTTTATTACGATTGGTTATTAAAGAAGCTGTTTTGGCCAATGGCTTAGTAGAGTAAATCCAGGCAGGAAATCCAAACAGAGACAGAGACGGAAAGTAGGTGGAGTCAGAGAGATGCCATGTAGCTGCCGAAGGAGAAAGATGCCAGCTGCCAGCCAGAACCTTACTGGTAGGCTACAACGTCATAGTGATTCACAGATTAATAGAAATGGGTTAATTTAAGATGTAAGAGTTAGAAATACATAAGCTATTGGCAAACAGTGTTGTAATTAATATAGTTGCTGTGTGATTCTTTGGGTCTGGGCGGCTGGGAAATGAATGAGCAGTCTCTGGCTACAACCAACCTCATGTCCAGGGGCAGGGGCACATCAGGTAACAGGGAGGTACAAGGTACAACATTTCAAGATTTATTATTATTATTATTATTATTATTATTATTATTATTATTTTGAGGCAGGAGTTCAGGTAGCTCAGGTGAGTTCAAATCTGCTATGTAACTGAGAATGATTTTGAATTCTTGATCCTCCTCTGCCTCTTAGGTTCTGGAATGAAAGGCATGAGTTGTTAAGTCTAGTTTATACAGTGCTGAGAACTGAACCCATGGCTTCATGTATGTTAGGCAAACACTCCACAAACTGATCTACATCCCCAGCCCTCAATATTTTAAGTTCCGTGCCAAGCTGTGATGTAGTATGAAATTGAATTGAATGAAATTTATTGTAGAATAAGACTGATATTTTTGTTTCCTGGCTGCCCAGACCTGAATAATCACACAGAAACTGTATTAATTATAATACTGTTTAGCCTAGTAGCTCAGGTTTCTTATTAACTAACTTTTAGATCTTAAATTAACCCATATCTATTAATCTGTGTATTGCCACAACGCTGTGGCTTACCAGGTAAGGTTCTGTTCTAACGTCTTTCTCCTTTGGCAGCTACAGGGCATCTCTCTGACTCTGCCTATTCTCTCTCTATCTTCCAGCCTGGCTATATTATGCTAAGCCATTGGCCAAAATAGCTTTATTATTAACCAATGGTAATAAAACATATTCACAGCATACAGAGGGGAATCCCATATCATTGCAAACAGAGTCCACCCGAGAAAAATGCTGCTATTAAGAAGCTATGCTAAGAAGCTAAGAAGAACTCCGTTCTTTTGTGTCTAGAATTCCTTCCTAAAATTTCTCAGGTTTTATGTTGATGTAGCTGCCCCACACTGGGCACCATTTTGTTGGCATACAAAAAAGTTCCACAATAGCTCGAAATGGAGTATAACAAAGGTTTATTTATCTGGGGATAAACTTACAAAAAGAAGAGGGATCTGCAGTCCTCTGTGTGTGCTGGGAACTGGAATCAAATCCAGCAGCCAAGAGAACCACACATGTATTTCATCTGCATTTATAGTGCATGAGACCATGCACAAAGTGGGCTGGTATCCCAAAGGCCATGAGCTGAAGGAGTTCCCACAGCAACTTATGCCCTGGCAATGCTGAAGCACACGTGGGAAGTCCGTATATGATGGTTCTGTTGAACTTGTCCATATTGGGTTTCATGATCTAAGTTGATGAGGATGACTGACCAGGTCTCTTCCTCAAGAGGGTGCGAGATCTCATTACAGAGAGTTTGGATTAATGGCCTTGGAAGAGATTTCATGACTGCTTAGTGTTGCCTGTGTTATGTGGCTATTAGTGGTCACTCTTAGGTAGATCTGCAATGAGAAGGAGCAATAGAGTAAAGAAAAAAAATGCAAAATGCACAATTGAAGAGAAAAAGAGCACCAGGAAGTGAAATGTAGCAGACAGAGTTCCAAGTGCTCAAGGAGATAAAACGTTTAAAGGAAAGACTGGTCAATGCTAAATGGAGAAAAGGGAGTGGTGACCTCAGGGCACATCCCCACACAGCTAAGCTTCCAACTTGTTAAAAGGCTTTAAAGGACAGTGAAAGGAGCCATCAACAACAGAAAGCTGATTGGAATGTAATTGAACCAGGGGGCAAGTTCCAGCTCCAGAAGGCAGCTGAACTTGACAACTTCGGCCAAGTGGTTCTGGCTCTAGAGTTGTGAACACAAGAGAGGGGTTGTGGGGTCTCCCACCAAAGCTCAGGAGAGTCACTGAGGCCAATCATGCATCAGGGGTGTCCCTGCATGGGAGCTCAGGGAGGCTATTGTGTGATGCTGTGAAGGTGAAGCCGGGATTGTTGGAGATGCCAGGGTGGTGTGATCCCTGCCAAAGAGAACTGCACACCATATGTGGAGCCAGCCCAAGAGAGAGAGCAAAACTGATAGGAGTTGGACATGTGAAGATTGCTTTGACATTAGACTTGGAGATGCAGAGTTTGGAGTCTGCCCAGCTGGTTTTCGCTCTTGCTTTGGTCCAGTATTTCCTTACAATGCTCCGTTTCCTCCCTTTTGGAATGGTAATGTATATTCTGTGCCATTGAAAGTGTGATCTGCTTTTTGATTTTGATTTTATTGGAGTTACAGTTGTAGGACCCAGGACAGCTTGGTACACACCTGCCAAGACAGGCCCTATAGACCAACAGGAAGGCCTAAGTCTCAGTTTATCCTAAGACAGGATCGCCTGCCAGCACACACCCATCGCTTTTCACCAGGACTCCCCTAGACAAATGTCAGCCAATTAGGGGTTCTGAACCTTAGAAATGCCTCACCCCAACCTCTGCTATTATAAAAACCCCACCTCAATTGAGCTTGGGGTTCTCCAACGGTGTCAATATATTGAACACACGGAGAGTCCGAGTTTGTGAACTTGTGTAAGAATAAAGGCTCTTTGCTTTTACATATGGGACTTGGTCTCTTTGTTGGTGTATGGGGGACTCCATAGATCTGGGTATAAGAACAGATAAGAGACAGCCTTGGGTCTCACAGACTTTGAACTTTGGACTTTAAAACAGTGTTGAGACTATGGGGACCTTTGAAGTTGGGCTGAATGCACGTTGTAGTTTGATATGGCTAGAATCATATGGGGACCACGGAGTAGAATGTGGTGTTTTGAACAAGAATGGCTCCCATAGGCCCATATATTTGAACACCTGGTTACTAGGAAAGAGGAACTATTTGAAAGGATTAGAAGGATTAAAAGGTGTGGTCTTGTTAGAGGAAGTGTGTCACTGGGGGCAGGCTTTGAGGTTCTAAAAGCAAGCTTTTTCAGGGGTGGAGTCTGGACTGAGGCACCTCCAGGGAAGGGACCCACTGTTTGGCACCCTGAGGGTGGGGTTCAGAACAGTCCTGAGAATGCTTTGCTCAGATTAAACCTGGATTTATTAATTCGGTTTGATTGTCTTATTACATCCCTGGCGGTGAAATTCCCTCCCATTAGCCAGGGATTTTAAACTTAACAGTCACATCTTTGGTGATGCTGGCCTAGAAGCACGGATAAAGGGGAGCCCTCTGGTGCCAGTGAGTGGCCTGTGTCTCTAGTCGCCCAGGACAGATGCTGCTGCTTAGCCTGTGGCTACTGCTCCATCCTTCTGGCTACAGGAGCATTTAGTTACAGCTGTGCTGAAAAGAATCCACCACACAGTTAAGGTTTTTCTGCTTCTTTGTTTGTTTTTTGTTTTTAAGGAAATTTATTGTGTTTTGGTCATCTTCTGGGCCACTCAAAAGCGCTTTCTGAAACACAGCAGCCATGAGCCACTGAGCCCTGTGGCCAGGGGCTCTTTGCACAGACTTGGACGCTCTGATTCTTTCATAGTTTACCTTGTGGAGAAGAAATACTGTGTGAAGGAAGCCGGCAGGCCAGGGGAGAGCACTTCCCTGTGATTTGTGTCTGGAGAATGAGGAAAGCATTGCATAGCTGTGGAATGGGGAGTGGGAGCTCAGACAGCCCTTCCACCCGCTCCCTGCTGAGGAGCCATGGGCTCCTTTGTGTTTGTTATTAGAGGACAAAACAGATGGCAAAAGACTGGTTTAAAATGATGTCTGCATTAAAATAATGTACGATGCTGCGCCGGAGTCTGTGTTCACCTGGGGATGGTTGTAGCCGGCCGCTCTGTCCACAGGAAAGGATGGAAGCAGAGGGGAGGCTCCAGGTCCTCCCACATCGAGTATTTGCCTTGCACAAATGAACTTGAAGCTGGAAAGATTCACCATGTGGCTTCCAGTTGCTGACACCTGGGGTTATTCCCAGTGTATTCAAGTGATGAAGCAATGGGGGCAGAATCACATCTGGATTCCAGATGTGTGTATAAGAGGGCGGGGGAGAGGGAGGGAAGAAGGGACAGAGGAAGGACCATTCAGAAA